GAATATAAATTGTTTGAGTTCTAAATAAACACTCTAAGTACTATGGACGGGGTTGGGAAGGGGTGGGGGAAGGAAGCGGGTTAAAAACCCTTCTAAAAAAGTATTTCTACAAGAAAATCAAATTAAAGTTAATAAAAAGCTTTTTGGAATGATATTAAAATTACAATCTTGGCCTCCTGTCGTAAGGGGGGGGGGCGAAAAAGAGGAAGGGTCGTGGGATTTGAAAATTTTCCTAAAAATAATATCGTTGAGTATCAAATGAAAACTAATAAAAAAATATTTTGAGTGCTATAAAAAGTAATTACTGTTCAAGGACTTTGGGTCTAGATATGGAGAGGGGGGGGGGTTTAAAAACTTTTCTAAAAATATCTTGATATGGAATCAAATGAGAGATATAAGAAGATTATTTGAATGATATCGAAAATAACACTGTAGGCTTCATGTTTAGGTAAGGAGAATGGGTGATGGAGAAGAAGGGAGGGGCGTATGAAGAAAGGGGGTAGAAGATAAAGAGGGTAGAAGGGAGGAGAGGAGTAGGTAAGGGATGCAACGGAAGGGGGTTAAAACATTTTACTATATATCGTCAAGGTTATCAAATAAAAGCAAATAAAAAGATTTTTTGATGCCATTAAAATTAATCATACTCAGGGATTTTTGGTATAGTTTCTGAATTGAAAACACCTTTTAAAAAGTATTATGGCTACGATATCAAATGAAACCTAATAGAAAGATTTCTTGAATGATATTGAAATTAACATAGGCAATGGGGATGATAGGAAGGGGATGGAAGTAAAAAAATAGATGGGGAGAGTAGGGGGAGTGGAGGGGCGAATGGCATCTTACTAAAAGATATATACTATCAAGAGTATCAAGTGAAAGCTAATAGTATAATTTCCTGAATTAATAATTACTCTAGGACAATTGGTATAGTTCCTGGAGGGGGGAGGGTTACATTGAAAAACTTTATCTAAATTTTTACTTGGATATCAAATGAAACCTTCGCATATTCAGATATCCACGGAGATGGGCTATAAAATATTTTGGGGAACTTCGCCCTTAAGCTTCCCAATTCCCAGTAGTACTAGATATTATTAATTATCTCCTGGTTTTTTTATTTATAATTTTATTTTTAAAATATGTAATATCATACTTATCCCCGTTAGTTGACTGAACATGATGCTTCAATAGTTCTAAAAATGTTTCAAAAATATGCTTATGTAAGTTTTAAATGCAAATTTAAAACTTAACACATCAGAAGTATAACTTTTTAATTTTTTACAATCTTATTAATAAATATTTTTATATAAGTTACCCAGATTAAATATCAATATTATAAATGATAAAGTAATCTTAATTTCAAGTATAGAAATATTGACAATATTTTTTGTTAATTTAATATCTATATCTTACCATTAAATTTGATGGTGTGCGTATTAGTCATTTTAAGGAGGGATTTATTTTTGTTTAATTTTTTAAAACTATATTTATGAGAACACAAGTTTAACTTAAGTCACGAATGACAACACTAGATGGTTTCTTGTTTTTTGTTAATTATATGACAGTTTTAAATGACAGCAAGTTCCCCCGTGGATGATATATATAATTTGGATAAACCTGGTACATTTATATATTTGATAATGTATATTCATTAATTTACTTAGGATTAACATTTATCCGCCTAGCGACATTTTATCACGCGACACTTTATCATGCGACACTTTATCACGCGACACTTTATCACGACGACACTTTATCACGACGACACTTTATCACGACGACACTTTATCACGACGACACTTTATCACGACGGCACTTTATCACACAGTTATTTGATAATGCGACACTTTATCATGCGACAGTTTAACACGCGACATTTTATCATGCGACACTTTATCATAATATACTTGAAACTTAGTATAATATATTTGAAAAGTTAAATTTTGATAAAATCTCATTTTTTGACTTTTACGTTTGAATTCCGATATTTAAAAAATTTTAATTAATTTTTTTTGCATTAGCTCATATTTTAATTTTCATAAGTATTATCAAATCGAGTCGTTTAACAACACTAAGTTCCATTATTTTTCTTCTTTTTCATAAAAGTTTGAATTTTTGAAATTCAACTTTTATTTGGACAAAAAAAGTGAAGAACCTTTTATAATCTATTATTTTACGAAATACAATATGAATATAATTTTTCAAACGAATATTTTTAAGATTTATTTTAGAATTTTATCTAGAAAAACACCATTTTATTTATTTTATATTTAAAATCCAATTGCCATTATATTTTATTTCCAAAATTTGTCAAATTTTTAGCCAAAAATATTTTTAAAATCAAAATTTTATGTCCTTTAAAAATAAAGAAACAGGAGAAATAAGCAATAAGAATGATTTTAATTTATACTTATTATTAATAAGTAACTATAAATCAATATATCACGAGTAAAAAATATAAATTATTTACAAAAATTGTGATAAAGTGTCGCATGATAAAGTATCGTCATGATAAAGTGTCGCAAGATAAAATGACGCGTGAAAAAGTGACTGAGTGATAAAGTGTCGTCGTGATAAAGTTTCGTCGTGATAAAGTGTCGTTGTGATAAACTGTCGTCGTGATCAAGTGTCGTCGTGATAAAAGTGTCTCCGTGATAAAATGTCGCCATGATAAAATGTCGTCGTGATAAAGTGTCGCATGATAAAGTGTCACACGATAAAGTGTCGCTTGATGTGACGCGTGATAAAGTGACTCCAAATCCATTTATCATAAAAAGAAAATTTAAAAATATCTCAAAAAAGGAAGCACCTTAACATGCTTCGCTTAAGGCTAAAATACCCTATATGTTTAATATAATTTTAAAAAATTTTATATTAATAAAAAATTACAGTTTAAATATTAATTTCTACTGTAGAATATGTAAAAAATAAAACTAAGTTTAAATATTTTGAAAAATTTGCTTCATCTAATTTTTATAGCCTTTCAATTATTTATGGACAAGGTAACCCCGATCTCCCTTACATTAATTCCTCTCAAAATAGGTTCCTAGTTATAAACAAAAATTGTCAAGTTTAAGTGAGATGTGTGTCAAATCATTTGAAACACTAATTCTAAAACTTATACCAAAACATTAAGTAATGCTTTATTAGCTCAATTATGTTTTATCATGTTTGTTAGATGTGTTAAAGGGGGGAAAAATGATTGATAAAATAAATAAAAAATTTTTGGAAAAATATGAAAAAAATGAAATATTTCCCTCGATTTAAAATATATTTGAATCTTATGAGTTTACGATTTTTATAGATATTATTTATTCTCTTCGGTTTATTTAATATATAGAAATAAGATAGTTTAAAGCTCATATTTTGAAAATTTGTCAAACTTTTGGAAGCACTAAGCTTATATAATGCTAAAATATAAAAATCTTAGTATAATCCATAATCCATTTAGTAAATTGTATAAATAAAAAGGTCATTATACAAAAATTACTAAAATTTATATCAAGATTGAAGATAGAGAAAAAGAATCGAGAATAATGAAAACTATTTGTTACTCTATTTTTCAGTCCAACTCCAAGGGAAAGGGGTGATAAAAATTCGTACATAATATTTCAATGTGGTTCTCAAAATAAAAAGTTTTGTCTATTGTTCTTATCATCCTCATCACTATAATAAATATTGAGGAATTGGAGGAGGTCCAAAATTTTAAAGGTTTTTTTGATATAAAATTTCTTGGCATGGATCTAAACACTTGATTTAAAAATATTTTTTGATTGCTAATTTCATTTTTAATCCTCGGATCTTGGTTATAGAGGGGGAGGGAGGTTATATAAGGTATCAAATTAAATTTATTCAACCAATTGTTGAAAATCGCTCTAGGTCTTCGAAGCAGATTGGAATAGGAATGGAGTCCTGGACATCAATATTCCTTCAAAAATTTTACAGATCTCCTCTAAAATCTCCCTCGAATACTACTTAGAAAAAAAGAAAATCTAAATTAAAACTATTCTCCTACCCCCCCCCCCCTATTTTATTTAATAATGATATTATCATAACTACCTACTCCCTCCAATTTCAATGACGAATTTGCATCATAACCTCCCCCCCCCCCCAACAACTTTTTAATTGTTATGATTAAGGTTAAAAGCTTTAGAAAGATATAGGTCATGTAAAAATTGATTATATATGTCGTAATTTTTAAAGGGATCATGACTATCCGGGATCTTCACGGGATTTAAAGGTACCCCTTTAAAATTGCAATTTTTTAAAGGATAAAGAACTATACGGTATTATCACTGGGGCAGAGATTGACCTCCAGTTGAATAAATCTTTTGATTAGCTATCGAATATGATACCCTATACTAGACATATCTTATATCATAAGGCCAAAAAAAAACAAAATTGAAAATTAAAAACGCAACGAAACTCGTGGAAAACGCTTTTAAAATAAAATTCCTCTTTATCACGATTAAAACGTTTATCATTCCTTAATTATCAACCCTAATTTTTTAGTTATCCCTTTATATCCCGTGAAGATCCCGGATAGTCATGATCCCTTTAAAAATTACGACATATACACTTTGTATTTTATAGATCTGCACACGGGCAAAATCTAAATTTTTCTTTGTAAATATATTTGACGAATTATTATATATCATATATTTTAATTTAATCACTCCCCAAGATTATAAATAGTTGTTTATTTTAGCGTCAACAACATATATTTTGGTTTAAACCATATATTTAGAAAATTTAAAAACCTATCTGGATTAACTTAGTGAAAATTTTGAAATTGGGCCTGGTAAAAATCCCACCGGACTGTGTCGGGCCTGATAATTTTGTTATTTGCAGTATATCACTATTTTAAATAATATAGCAACCAACCAATTTTATTTATCGTCTGATCTACTACCTTTTTATATGCTCAGAAATTTTCAACACCCTAATTTGTTGTTTATTACCAATTATTATTTAAAATAAATAACCATTTCTTTACATTTTAGATGATGACTTATCAAGATACGCTGAAGATATAATAAGTAGACAAAAATCCCACTTATATAAAAGAGACACAAGAGAAAATGAATTTAATGATGTTTTGGGGTAATTAGATATATATTTTAACTATTTATATTTCTCTCATAGAAATCCAAATTACTACGATTCAATTTACGATGCGCCGCCTTATGTTTTCGAACCCAATTATGATATGCCAAGTGAAAAAGAAAACAACGAAATATACAAGCAAAGAGATGTGATCATGGACCCATCAAAGTGGTTAAACGTAAAGAGGGCTGCATCTGCTCTTAAGTGGACTGGGTTGGGCAAAAGAAATTTCCTTCAATTTGAACCCAGATCTTCGTCAAATCTAAGATGGATTGGATTAGGCAAAAGGTTTGATTCATACGATGACGAATTTCCGTTTTATTCAGCTTCCATGGATAAGCCTCAATCACGTTCAACCTTGTTTAAATGGACAGGGCTGGGAAGAAAAAAAAGATTGCAACCTTATAATTATGGAAACTTTTATGACCCAAGAAATCTAAGGAGTTCCATGCAATACAAGTGGACCGGATTAGGTAAGAGATCCCCCAGAATGAATTACAATCGATTATATTCATCATCTTATAATTCTTTTTTACCCGATAATGCACAAAATGATTTTTCTGCTGTAGAAGGAATACTGAAATTTAGAAATTTAAGCAAAATAGACAATTTATATAGATATGATGCTAAAGATGATGCTACAAATAAATACATAAATAACAATAATTACCCTTTTTATAAATTCCATGATTCATCTGGCTTGAAAAGAATTCAGACCAAAAAATTAAACCCAATATATCAGTGGAGGGGATTGGGAAATTGATAAGCAAATCTTCTTTTAAAAAAAATTAATTTATTGTTTATTTCGTCTTTTACTATGTCCAATTTCAATATTTTTATAGGCACCATTAATTTATGTTTGTATAATACCTGTCGGCTTTATTTTTTTAAACCATACAAATAAAGCATAATAATTAATTTCCAAAATTGGTTTTATAAGAAATTTTTAAACGAATATATGATGCTAAATTGATAATAGTCTCTATAAAGAGATTTTCAACGTCCAACAGCTAGAATTTGTATCATTTCATAATGCATCTTATGTTTCCATTAATAATGTAGTTTTAAGCAAGTAGTTATAGAAAAAAAAGGTATAAAATATTAGAAGTATGTAAGATAATCTATTCAAATTTGTTTAAATAAAACCGCATTCTAAGTTTGGCTATAGAATTAACCCATGCTGGGTTATAATTTCCAATATAAATTACAACCATGTTTTATGATGACATAAAAATATAATATTTTATATTCAAAAATATTCTGAAAAAAAGAAATTAAATTGATAAAATTGTGTTCCCCACTTCTAAAAGGGTTTATAAAGTTATTATTATCTTCTGCTTCTATACATATATAAACTAAATAGCTCAATAGATCATCATCTTACTTAATAAGAAATTTATATTTTGGTTTTCCCCATTTCACAGCATTGTATTATTTATTTTTTATGGTGGCTAAAGATATGAACAAAACGAAATATTTTTTATAAAGGAAAATTATTAATGTTTCATACCATTGATCGTATTTTTTAGGAACATTTCTGAATTAATTCAGATAATATTTTCAATTGTAAATTTATTATAACGTAAGGGAGACTGGGGTTAGGTAAACCCCGGGACTTAGCAAACCACTTAATCTCACTTTAATTAAATTTACCAGAAGGTTAAAATTTTATCCCAATATAGATTTAATTATTATTAAAAAAGATTTTTACATTACAGAATTTTAATTTTTATTAAAATATATAATCATTTATATGTAAATTAAAATATATAATCATTTATATGTAAATTAAAATATATAATCATTTATATGTAAATTAAATTTTATAGCAAAGTTTAAACACTCTTTTATAATTTGGGAAAGTTTTATGAGTATTTATTATGTCTAGTTATTATTTCAATCATGATTTGTTAATTTAGAGCTTGCGGGGCTTGCTAAACCATACACGTCAATTATGGCAGTTAATAATAAAAAAAAATTCAAAATCTTGAAAAGGCAATTTCATGGCTGTTTATGATTAGTTTTGTGCTCAGAAATCATAATCTCTCCTTAAGATCCTTATTTTTTTATATCCAAAATCTTTATTAAATCAACCAAAATTAAGTTTCAATTTTTATATATAATTAGCTTCAATTTATATGATATTTTTAACAATAAAATTATTCTATACGTATCATTATTTAAATAAAAGTACAGTTCAATTTATTATGGCCTAAAAAATTAAGGGTTTAGGAAGCCCCTTGAAGTAGTTTGCCTCACCCCCTCTATTGGGGCTTGTTGGACATTTTCACTTTTACAAAAATAAAATTTAAAAAAAAATGAATATATTTTAAAAATTTTTTATAAGGCTTTTATAGAGTATTTTAAGTATCTAATCATATATTATTTTTTACATTATCTAAAAAAAACCAGGAGCTATAGCCAATTTTGTAAAAATCGGTTCGACTAACTCCAGTCTCCCCTAATACAATATAATTAAATTATAGAGATTGGTTGTTTATGTTTTATATTTTATAATCGCATTTTAAATATATTTAATTTTTATAAACTTATTCTAAAAAGGGAACAACTCAAAAAGTGGTGTAGCCAGAATTTTTGATGTGGACTGGGTTTACTATTTAAATTTTTAATTAGGGTTTATGTCTAATTTTTTGTTTTGCTTCATGCCAAACGATTATAAGCACTAATTCTAAGAGAAAACTTTATTGGCAAGCTTTAAACGTGAAGTCAGCCAAACTTTTGAAAACTCTGATTCTGTATAATAAACCATTAAATAGATCCTAAATATTTTAGTGCGATCCGTTTGGTAGATAATTATATGAGAAAGGAAATTGGCAAAATTATAAAATATTATTGGCAGCCATAACGGAAATTATAGAAGCTCCAAATATCTGGTTTGAACTAATATTTAATGTCTAATTTACTTCCTAATTTATTAGTGTCCATTTACAAAATCTAAAAATAAGGATGCAGCATATCTCGCAACATGGAGGGTTAAAAAATACTTTCGATGTTTTTCACTTTTCTTAAATTTTTATTTTTAAAATTTTATATTAATAAAAACTAAAAGATTTTTTTCTTAAATATCAATTTCTACCGTAACGTTTAAATATTTGGGAAATTTGCTTCGTCTATTTTTTATAGCAATTCAATTTTTTATGAACAATCTAACCCCGGATTCCCTACTCATAAATAGTCAGTTATCTGATTCCAGTTTTCTTCCAGGGTTGCCAGATTTTTTCAAAGAGAGAGAATTTAACCAGGGATCCAAACCTAATCTGAACCGGACCGTTAAACCGGTATTAACCACAATTTTTATCGAATCTGAACTGAACCTGAACTACTAAATGATTTTTAACAGAATTAAACGGAACCGCTATATTGCCTTTGGATCGGTTCGAGCCTCTGATTTTGTGCTTATAAAATTATGTGAAAGTTATTATATTGATAACATTCTAATTTAATTTTTATAACCATTAGTATATCACTATTTTACAACATTTAAATATTTTTAAGCTTTAGGTCGTGTCCTGGATCGACTTAATTTTGATACTAATTGCTTTAGGATAAAAAGCTTTTGAACTGGAACACCTTATTTTTAATTTGTTTTAAGTATTTGGTGGCATGGTTATCTTTCCTATTTTTTTAAATTTAAATTTTTTCTTTTGTTTTATGCTTAGAAATAAATCGTCCAATATATAAATTATTTACATATAGTATTAATATAACACATCAAAATGTAAAATTACTGATTATCAACTATAAAGGGGAACTGGGAGCAAATCTTGATCTAGAGGTCTGCACCTAATGTTTTAAAAAAAAATTTTACACGCCCGCCCAACCCGCCTATAGTTTTCCAAAAATATATACCCGCCCGCCGGCCCATTTGTCTAAAATTCCTTTCCCGCCCGCCCGTCCTCCCATTAGTACAAAAATTTATACCCACCCGACCATTATTTATCAAAAATATTAACCCAAGTCCGCTTATAAAATTTAATTATGGCCATTCTTTCAATTTTCTAAATCTAATAAAAATATTTCAGCATTACACCTCTACAACAATTTAAATTATGGACAATTTATTTGATCCAATAGAATATTTATGAAATAAATATAAAATTGATATTATATGTAATTATAATGCAAAAATAATAATAAATCGACATTTTCTGGATTCAAACACTTTCTTCTTTGTTTTAAAAACCTTTCAGTAATGCTAAATCCTCATTCAGAAGAAGCACTAGTTGCAGGAATTGTCAATATTTTTCTTGCTAATCTTGATAGCTTTGGCAAATCTCTTGTCGTTTCCACTAAAGTAGGACATCCGTTTGAAGTATATCTTCTTCCTCATGTAAGATTTCTTCTTTGTTTTAAAAACCTTTCAGTAATGCTAAATCCTCGTTCAGAAGAAGCACTAGTTGCAGGAATTGTCAATATTTTTCTTGCTAATCTTGATAGCTTTGGCAAATCTCTTGTCGTTTCCACTAAAGTAGGATATCCGAGTATATCTTCTTCCTCATGTAAGATCTAGATGTCCAGTATGCAATATACGTAAAACGCTTTTTTAAAGTAAGTATTAGATGATTAATCTGCCATTCCAAAATAAAATACCGTGCTATTTTTGTAATCGCTTTATGCTATTCGGAATAGTAACAGAACAAAATACTATATAGTTTTATAAACCAGACCTAGAGTTAATATTAAAAACAGATGCATCTAACCAAGGATTTGAAGCTGTATTCATGCAAAAATATGAGAATGGTAACGAATTTCCAATAGCTTACACCTCAAGAACTGTACAAGAAGCTGAAAAGAAATATACTACAATAGACAAAGAAGCAAAAGCAATAATAAACGGCGTAGAAAAATTTCATAATTTGAACAGACCACAAACCTTAAATAAAGATACATGGTAATAACAGAGATTTAAGCTCATTAACAAACCAAAGACTATTACGTTGGGATTATAAATTATCTGCATATAATTATAATATAATGTACAAGAATGGCGCTAATAATATAATTGCAGATGCTTCATCGCGAAACCCAATAGAGAAAACGATGATAGATTAACAAGTGAAAATAAAAAAGTGAAATATATAAGAAATCTTACTTATGACACATTAACTCTATCAAGAAAAGAACTTAGAGAGGAAACCGCAAAAGAACCAATTTTAAGAAGAGTAAAAATATTAATAAATGGTACAAATATACAAAATCCAGCACCAGAATTACAAGCTTTTAAAATAAGAATAGTTGAAATAGAAAATGTTGACGGTATTTTATTTTGGAATGACAAATTAATCATTCCGTACTCACTTCCAAAAAGAGTTATACATATATTGCAACGGGACATCTGGGTATTACATCAATTAAATCCATTACGAGACATTATATATAAGAGGAACAATTAGATAAAGATGTCGAAAAACTAGTAAAGTGTTCTTCACTTAAAAAGCGATTGGTATAATAAAAAAAGAAATATTCTTATTGATCATTTAATTAATTATGATTTTTCTTAATTTGTTTTTGAACAAAAATTTTTAATTTCCTCAACCCGCCCGCCCATTGTTTAAATTTCTTAACCCACCCACCCGCCAGCCCATAGTTTCAAAATTTTAACCTCCCGCCCGCCAGCCCATTTTCGAAAAAATTTTTACCCGCCCTTCCGCTCGCCCATTTAGATGGGCGGTCTGGTCGAAACCCTTCCCCCTATACCGAACTCTATCTTGAGCATCACATAAAAAGAAACCACTCTCTAGAACTTACTAAATTTCATAAAATATCACAATTAAAATATATAAATCGATTGTGGGTTTATATACAAAAGTGTTTAAACCCGTTTTCATTGGTTCAAACGGAACATATACTTTTTTCGAACTGAACCT